TCAAGAAAGAAGCCATCCGTCGAGGGAAATCAACATTAAAGCGTCTAAATTTCAGTTACCTTTAAGTTATTTGTAAGACTTTGTAAAAATGGAGGTAGATGAAATTAATGATTCCGTCGATGTAACTACAGTTACATAGATGGGATTGAGTTCCATCTAGCTTTCTTTGGGTCTCCATTCGCAGCAACCTCCTCGTGGTGAGACCCGGGCAATTGGTATTATCTTCGGTAAAGTACTGTAAACTAAAGGTAATACCGAGCTAATGGCTGCGAACTTGAAATTAATTTCTCTAGTTAGAAGAATAAATGTAAAATCGAATATTTTTGGTAAATGTTCTATCGTACATGAAACATAGATTATTTTAAGACTAAGTGTAAGGTAGAAAATCTTTGTTAACTATATGAATACGTGAAGCTGAATAATAAAGTGCAAGGAGTCACATATATATTCGACTATTTTAATGAATTCATACCTTACAATTGAAATGAAGCTGAAGTAATATCCTGTAGAAGGTTGGCTAGTAGAGCTCTTGTTGGATCGAATTTCATTATTTACTTACTCGCAATAAATAAAATTATTGTAATTAAATAATGTGTGAATAAAGTTATATATAAAGATTCACCAATTGCCAAAAGGTAATTGATTGTGCGTATTAGGATTCCTATATATAGTTGTACAATTGTATACAGATTGAGTTTTTTAATTATTTCATATAGGTATGTAATATTTATAGGAATAATCATTTGAAACTCTATTATTGGTTTAGTTTTACTTTGTACTATTTTAATAAGTTATGTATTATCACACCTTAGACACATTTTTTTAAATAGGTCCTCATCTCATTTATAAACTACATATGAATTTTTAACTTTTTGCAGCTTTTCAATTCTATGATTAACCACCTTAAAGATATTTATCATTCTTATGCCCAGAGAGATTATGACTAACGTAGACAAAATTATAAGTTTGTCTGTTTAGATAACTAATAACGAACAATTGAACAGTGTGTATATCCAGCCCACCCTGCATGTAGCTACGTCGAACACGCGTAGTCTACGTTATTAGAGCTCGCGTAATTCATTATATTGGGAAATAGAGACCCCGTGTGGTGGAGCATGGGGTCATAGAACCCCCGGTTGAGGTGCCAGAGACCCCGCGTGGTAAGAACCTGGGGTCACAGAACCCCGGGGGAAGACACCTGAGACCGCGTGAGGTCATAGAACCCCGGTGGAGGCGCCATAGATCCGTGTGGTGACGCGTGGGGTCATAGAACCCCGGTGTTGAGAACGCGGGGTCACAGAGCCCCCGGTGGAGGCATCAGAGACCCTGCGTGGTGAGAACGTGGGGTCACAGAACCCCAGGAGCATGTGCAAGAGTTTTGAGACGTGAACCTTTATCGCTGTTGCTCGTACAACTCTCGAGCTCGATCGAATGTTGCTCGTGCAACTGTCGAAATCTGGCTGACACTTGTGCGTGCTTCCGAGAGCAAATTATATTGAAACCTCTGCAACTATGGCAGTTTCTGCAGATACTACTACAGCCCAAGTTTTAAAGACATAGGCAGTAGTTAGTTTCTGTAGTAACCTGTTGAACCAGACAACTATAATTAGTATAGGATTGTACAATATTTATGCAATCGTATTTAAAACAATTCGATGAAATGAAGCTTATATTACCTGACGTATGTTTATTGGAATATACATATATACATATAAATTATAATGATATAAAAGTTTGAAATACAATTCGATGCGCTACGGTACAATACGTCTATTCGATTCAATTGCTCCCTTGCGACTACAACATCATGCTATCCGCGTTCGACGCAGTGCGCTAATACCGAGGCCAACGAAATATCACTCTTAACACTTAAAAAAGTTTTAAAGTTCCATTTATATCATTGTCCTGTGAAAATGTTCAGACTTCCAGCAGCATTCATATTCCAATCAAAGAATCTACAGAATAAGGAAAAGGAATCTAAAGTAATTTTCAGTAGTTCT